ACATTCCATGGTGTTTGTGATGCCAAGAGAGCCATGGCATGAACAGAAGGGAATGTTGGGTGCATTGGCCACATTTCATGATGCTTGTGATAGTTGAGGGCTTCTCTCCACCATAACTCCACCATTCCCTTTCATCCATTATAGCTTAATGCTCCCCTGGCCCTCACCCTTGGCATCTCCCTAGATATAACCTTGAGCCTCATGGGCCTGGATGCTCAGACCAGAACCTAGGTTACCTTCCCTACATTTTTTTTAGAACAAAGACCTTTGCCTACAATACCTTCAAGTGGCCCATCTAGACTTGCTTGAAGACCCCCAGCTCACCACCTCTCTTGGTGCAGGCCATTACACTTAGAGATAGCACTAATTGTTAGGATGGTTGTCCTGACATCAGGTACTATTGCTCCTGGTTCTGCCCCCATGGTCAGGCAGAACAAGACTGATCATTGGTACTTGGCAAACCTTACAATGCCCTATGAATGGGAGCTATGGATACAGTGTGGCTAGGGAGCAAGAGAGACCTGGGTTCAAGTCCTCCCTCTGACACATACTGACTATGTAACCCTGGATAAGTTAGTTAACATTCTGGTGCCCTTATGCAGAGGTCTCCAAAGTGTTGGATATGGCCTAAACCCAAGGTTAGAGGCCTAATCCCTCTGATTATTCAACCAATCAGAGGGTGTGAAAGTTGGGCACACTCACCTCCTATTATAATCAAATGTGAGCTTGTTTCCAACACAACATCAGCTCCTTCACCCACTGAAGCTCAACATTTCCTCTCTCTGTTCCCTCTCAGCTAGAGTCTCCCCAACTGGATCCCTCAGGTCTTAACAACATAACTAGACTCAGGCATCTGCAGGAAATTTAGACAAAATTCTCTCCCTGCCCCAACTCTGAGATCTCTCAGTCTGCTCATCCAGATCACCTGGTATTTGCCCCGGTCTTCCTTAAGGGATGGGCTGTGCAACCTGGCACAAGAGACATTGGATAGGTCTGACATTGTCACTCTTCTCTACTTGGGGAGCTCCAATAGCTCCTTGTTATCTTCAAGAGCAAATATAAAGATCTCTGTTTAGCCTTTGATGCTCTTTGTAACCTGGACCTTTCCTACCTTTTGAATCTTCCTATACCTCACTACATAAATATCAGCAAAATGATGTACAAATCTTAAAATGCTATATAAATGCTAGTTATTACTATTAATAATATTATTTTCCACATACTACACTGTCCTATTTTATTTTCCTCATAAAAGACATTGCATGTCCCATCTCCATGCTTTTGCAAACACTATCCCCTATATGTATAACCCTCTGCTTCATCACCTCAACCTTTTAGTTTAACCATCTTCCTTCAAGATTCAGCTCAAATTCCACCTTCTATATGAAGCCTTTTCTAGTCCTTCCTGCAAACCCTTCCTTCAAAAGTCACTTTTCATTTATATTGTATTTATCTTGAATGTATCCTTTTTTCCTGATTATCTCCCCCATTAGAATGTAAACTACTTGAGGGCAGTGACTGTTTTTGCCTTTTTTGGTGTACTCAGTACTTAGCACACTGCCTGACACCTGGGAAGTATTTAACAAAAACTTGTTGACTGATTTACTAGCCCATCACCCAAAAACAGCTATAAAAAGATAAACATTTATAGGCCAGCAAAAATAAAGAGGACTGATAGATTGCGTAGAGCACACAATGAGCGGGTCAAAAATTTGAAGAAATACATTTGGAATAAGCAGACATCATCTCAGCAAGCAATAGGAAATAACATACTGGTAACAGATATGTGCCATTGGAATGGGGGAATGGAAACAGAAGTGCCTGTTCTCCATATGGAACCTATCAAAGAACTAACATCCAAGAGTAGAATTCAAAGGTCTGCCATGCCCAACATCTATGTGTGTCTTGGCAGTTAGACTTCTAAAAAGTGTATACATTTTGTAGTTATTTTGAACAAAATTTCTCATCCTATCACTTCTTTCAGAATTTTATTGGAAAAATAAAAAGGCAGATGATTTCTGTGGGTTAATTAAATGACTGATGCTTTGTTATAATAATTATTTCAATTAATTTTTAGTTGAATCTCTAGGGTTGTCTAAGTAGATCATAGACCATTATGTCATCAATAAAAAAGCAACAATTTTTTTAGCTTTTTGCCTATGCTTATTTCTTTAACTTCTTTCTCTTGCCTTTTTGTTACAGTTAACGTTTCTCTAATAATAGTGGTAATAACAGGCATTCTTCCTTTGATCTTGATCTTATTGGAAAAACTTCTAGTTTATCTCCATTACATTTAATGTTGGCTTTTGGCTTTAAATGGATACTATTTACTATATTGAGGAAAAATCCAAAAATGGATATTGTGTTTTGCCAAAAGGTTCTTCTGATCATATTGATGCAATCATGTGATTTTATTGATTTTGTTATTAATTTGCTCTTTTATGCTTATAGTTTTCCTGATATTGAAACAACCCAGCAATCCTGGTATAAATCCAACCTGGGCATAGTATATAATCTCTTTGATATGTTGCTGTAGCCCTTTTGATAATAATTTTTTAAATTTCATTCAGTATTTATTAGGGATATTAGTCTAAAAATTTTTTCTCCATTTTTTCTCTCCCTGATTTAAGTAGAAAGGCCATATTTGCATCATAGAAAAAAAATGGCAGGATCCTTTATATTCTTATTTTTGTTAACAATTTGCATAATATTGGAATGAATTGTTCTTTGAATGTTTGAAGACATCACTTGTAATTACATTTGGTCTTGGATTTTTTTTTACTTTCATTTGTGGCTTGTTCAATTTCTTCTTCTAAAGCTGAGTTATTTGAAATCTCCATTTTTTTTGTTCTGTTAATCTAGGTGTTTTTCATTTTTTGTACAGATGTATTTATTTCATCTAAGTCATCAGTTTTGTTTACCTGCAGTTGGGCAACATGGCACTTCCCACCTAGGACAAACCACTTCCCACCTCCTCCATAGGTTCCCAAACTATACAGGGCCACAACACTGCCAGGCCTGCCATAATTAACAAGGACACAGCAGGTCCAGCAGTTGGTGGCTAGGCTGACACAAATCATCAACCTCAAACTTTGAGTACCCTCTCTTGATCCTGTCCATAAGCTATCATTCTACATACCTCCTAAACTAAACTCCTTGAGAAGGTAATTTTTGATTGGTGCATCTACCACACTCTTCTGTCTTCTAAATTCTTGGCAATCTCACTTTGACTTCATTATTCAACCAAAATAAACTACTCAACAAACTCTAGTGACTCCCTGTTACCTTCAGAATCAAATATAAAGTCTTTTGCTTGGCATTTAAAGCCCTTCACAACTTGACTCCTCCCTAACTTTTCCAGTCTTCTTAAACTCTACTGCCTTCAGTGAATTTCATGATTCAGCCATACTGGCCCACTTGCTGTTCCTTGCACATGATACACCATTTCCACTCTGCCTTTGCACTGGCTCTTCTCCATGACGGAAATGCCTCCCTACCTCAAACTCTCAGAATCCTTGACTTCCTGTAAGATTTAGCTCAAGATCACTTCCTACAGGAGGCCTTCTCTGATTCCGCCTCACTCTCCTAGCCCCAGTTGCTGATGCCACTCCCTCTAAAGTTACTTTCCATGTATTCTGTATTTATCTTGTATGTTGTATGAAGTTGCTGATGACCCAAAGGACGGCAGAACACACAGTGGATGAGGAGGCTGCAGCTTATAATTCATGATTAATTATGTGTAATATGTCATCAATGATATGAATGATTGGAAAAGGAGGTGGGCAGGTCATGTACCCAGGGCATGTACTAGCCCATCACCCTAAAACAGCTATAAAAAGATAAATACTTATAGGCCAGCAAAAATAAAGAGGACTGATCGATTGCATAGAGCACACAATGAGCAGGTCAAAAATTTTAAGAAATACATTTGGAATAAGCAGACATCATCTCAGCAAGCAATAGGAAATAACATGCTGGTAACAGATATGTGCCATTGGAATGGGGGAATGGAAAGAGAAGTGCCTGTTCTCCATATGGAATCTATCAAAGGACTAACATCCAAGAGTAGAATTCAAAGGTCTGCCATGCCCAACATCTAGGGGCAAAGCATGACGCCCAAAAGCATCGTGCCCTGTGGAATGGTGAAGGGCCCAGGGGAGGGAAGGTCTCTAGCACCTTAGATCGTTAGGCCTTCTGTGGAAGATTTATAGGAGGATGTGGACAAGAACTGCATGACATACATAAGCAACAAATAAATATTTATTGCTCGATTGATAAGGAGACCTGAATGGACTGTGATCAGCCTCAGTGGTAAGAGTATGTGCCTGAAGAAGGTGCATTCAAATATCAAAGAGTATCATAGGATTTAATGGATGTCAGATTTATTTGAGATAACAATTTTCATAGTATCACAGATCCTATATTTACAATACTGGTGAGAGCTCCCCACCTTATTATGAGGGCTGATTTTTTTCATAAAATCTCATAACTCAATGCTTCTTATTGGTTCTGAGACATTATTCTTCCTGGGTCTCAGAGAACAGAGCTAAGCTCCATAGGTGGGGGTGGCCAAGAGGCAGATTATACTTGATGTGAGGCAAAAATCTTCCTCCTGTTAGAGTTGCCTGAAAGGCTGCTTTGGCCAGTAGTGAGTTTCCTATCACTGGATGTCATGAAGTAGAAGCTGGATGAGTCAGGGAGGGGGTAGAGGGGATTCTTGATCAGGTTTGAGCCAGACCAAATGTCTCTGAGAGCCCTTCTAGCCCTAAGATCCTGTGAAAGCCTTTTTAGACACACTCTCTGTTTCTGTGTTCTATGTCTCTTTCTGCATCTCTCTCCCTTCTTCTCCCTTTTCTTTTCCTTCTTTTTTCCTTCCTCTCCCATCAGCTTTCAATTATACCTGTTTACTGCCCTTCCACAGACCAGTGAGGGGCTAACAGGGAAGAGGAAGGTTGGCAGTTCAGGCTTGGTTGACCCTGCTCTGAAACCCGAGGCAGGATTCAGGCAAAATAAGCATGATAGAAGATGCCCACAGCCATGACCAGGATGGCATTGATGTTCACCACGTTCCTCCAAAAGGGTTTTTCAGATGTGTCTGTGAGCTGCTTCTGCAATGCAGCCTTCTCTTCCTCAGTCAGCTTGGGGCCTTTCTTTGTCTCCAGCCCACAGAATGCATTCCAGGCCCTCTTGAAGCACCCTTGTGGTTCCTCTGAGCCATCTGGAGGAAAGGGAAAAAAGGCAAGCAGTGAGGAAATGTGCTCACAATGGGCATTTCTATAGCACATTTCAATTTGGCAAACGGCTTTACCAGGATGTCATTTGAGTCTCACAAAAGTGCTGGGAGGTGGGCAATACGGCTATTATTATGCCCATTTTGCTGATGAGGAATCTGAGACTCAGAGAGATAAAGTGAGTTCTCCGTGGTCACACAGTTAATGGGTCTGAAAGGCAGGATTTGAACTCAACTCTCCCTGACTCCAAGAACAACATGCTAGCCAGTGTACCTTGCTGTAGTGAGCTCTAAAGGTGACTGGGAGGAAGCCGCTTTTCTGGCAAGTGATCTGGCAACAAAAACAATAGCTGTTCCCTGACATTACCAAAGGCAGCAAGTGGAGGAAATGAGCTTGAAGGGAAAGAGTCCTCCAGGGTAACTCTGGACCTCAGCAATCTCAGGATCCTGGTCAAAGTTTGGGCCACCAGAGAAGAGGTTTCTACCTTAGTGCCAGAAGGGAAAAGGGGCTTCCATTTTCAAGGTGGCCTTAAACAGATGCACAAGGAGGCCCTGAGTCTGTTTAAGGACAGATTGGTCTCAGTAGCTGGGAGGCTGTCTCAGCCAGTTTGTCAAAAAGAAAACTCCTTGCTGGAAGGCAGGACTTCTGAGAACCCAGGAGAGCTGGGCACACAGAGAGACAAGTGGACAATTAAATGTCACCTTCTTCCCCCTGGTCTCCAGCTTCCTCTTGTCCATACTGCTCAGGGTTCAGGTCGATACGTTCTTCCTGGCTATTGCGGAGAGCCCAGCAAAGGCGGTACAGCTGTCCAGAAAGCACAGGCAGGATTTAGCCATGTGACCATGGCAAAGAGCACCTCTCCCCACCAGAGATGTTAGAATGAACCTCAGATCAAGTGCTGCCTGCCTCTGAGAAGCCTGACTTGATTCTTTCCCAGATCTATGTTCTAAGGGCCCTCCAGATCTATCACATTATGTTCTGATGGCCCTTCTTGCTCTGACATTCTATGTTCTAAGAACCCTGCCAAGACCTCACATTCTGTGTTCTAAGGTCCCTCCCAACTTTATCGCTCTATGTTCAAAATTCTCTTCTAGGTCTGACATTCTATTTTCTAAGAGTCCTCCAAGAGCTCACATTCTGTGTTCTAAGGGCTCTTGCAAATTTGACATTCCCTGTTCTAAGGTCTCTCCCAGCTGTGACATTCCCTGTTCTAGAGTCCCTCTAAGCTCTGGTGTTCCTGATTCTAGGGTTCCTCTCAGCTCTGACATTCTACATGCTATGACCCCTCCCAATTTTGACATCTTTTGTTCCATGAAGTTTTTTGTGACTTTGAGACTCATCTTACCTTTTTATGACTTCTTTCTCTGGTTCCTGGTTTTGCCCTCTGGGGCCAAATAAAACAAGTCTTATCCATCTTCCATATGGTAGTCCTTAAATTCTTGAGGACATCTGCCTCATCTCTGCTCTACATCACCCCCAAGTAGTCTCTTTTTCTGGCTCTATATTCTCAGTTCTTTCAACCTACCCACATTTGGAACATGAATTTCAAGCCCTCTGGCACTCTGGTCACTTTCCCCTAGATGGTCTGTACTTTATCCACAACTTTTCTAAAATGGGTCTCCCATCACTGAACACAGTACTTTGGGTGAAGTCCCAGATATTATCCTTTTCTCAATGAAGACAAAATATCAGCTTTCTTGGCAGCTGGATCAAGCTGCTGCCCTATAGAGGGCTTTCAGCCCACTAAAGCCCCCCCAGATGTTCCAAAGTAACTCCTGTTAGGTCATTAATCCCTCATGTTGTGAAGTTGATCTCTTAAACCTAAGTGTGAAACTTCATACTTATTTCTACTACATTTCATCTTATTATAATCCAGCTCTGACACGGCATATTTTGAAATGCCCTCTCTCTCTCTCTGAGGGTCTGGGATTATATGACTCAAAGTCTTCCTGACCTAGGATTTGTAGTGAGGTAAAAGCTAGGGAAAAGGCGTGATTTCATGATGAGTAAAGGCAAACTCATACTTACATGTATGTCAGGAATAGGTTTTGTCATCAGAGAGATACCAAGCACAACCAATACTGTCAATGTGAAGAGGACTATGGCAAAATAGGAGAAATGCCATCCACAGATGATGCTTGGACATTGGCTGGGGACCATGCAAGTGCCTGTCCCATAGGCAAACTCAGCAATCATACGAGTTAGACCAATCACAAGGCCAAACATCAGTCCCCAGAAAGCTCCCTGCCAAAGAAAGTCAAGGAGAGTGGTTTCAGGGTGCTTTCAGCACAAGGGACCACAAACCACATGAATTTCATCTTGTGGGATGGAAGAATTATTGAAAACCAGAATGATAACAACAACAAAAAAAAACAACACAAAGCTTTCATATATGATTCTAAGAATATCAGAATTGGAAGGGAAATTGAGTCCAACCTTGTTTATTTTTCATATGAGAAAACCAAGTCCCAGATAACTGAAGTAATTTTCTCCCAAGAAGTTTGACTCTTATTCAGGGCTCTTTCTACCATATGTTTATAATGGACAATTATTAATATTATGTCTTATTGCTGTGAAAAAAATTGGAATTCAGGGACATCCATGAATATGGGAGAACATGACATTTTGGGTTCCTCAGGCAGTCAGAGTCCTTACCACCTCTATACACTGAATTTTCCCCATTCTGACTCACCTGCTCATTAGTTCTCTTGCAGAAGATGGCAAGCAGGAACACAGCTGCAATGGGGGGCCCAAGGTAGCTTGATATTGACTCCACATACTGGACAAGTTCACCATTTTGTCCTTCCTGGACTAATGGGATCCAAGCAATGCTGAGGGCAATCAGGACGATGATGAACAACCTATAAGCATATTTCTATCAATAGGATATTGAGCTATAACTAGGGTCAACAAGTTGGGGATTTTCCCATGATGGGGGGGTCTATTCTCCAGAAAAATTCTTCTCCCTCCCCATGAGACCACAAGCCCTGTATTCCAAAGTACTCCAATAGCCCCTGACACCATAGGGATTGGAAAGGGGAAAGTAGACTTTGAGAGAATGTAAGGGAGCATAATTACTGGTGGTGGAAATTAAAAGAAGAAGGGGAAAGGATGAACGGATAAAGGGATGAAGATGGGTTTCCCCTTCTCCCCCAGTCAGGCTATCTTTCCTGGGGCCTGCCTGACTTCCTCCCAAATACCTATGAGGGTTCATATTGGATTCTCTGGATAATGATTAATAAAGACACCCTTGTTCTCTTGTCAATCAGGTCCTGAACCTCACAGTCATTCTTAACTTCTCCCTCTTCCTTTTTTTCCCACATTTAATCCATCACCAGTCCTATCAATTCTCTTCCCCTACAGTTCTTATATCTGGCTCATTATTGGCTGAGATGGTGTAGAGCTGGGACCTCGGAAATCATCTGGACTAAGCCTTCATTTTGGGGGATGGAAAACAAGACCAAGAGATTTGGTCACAATCACACAGCAAGTGGTAGAACCAGGATTTAAACTCAGGCTCTCTGACTCCAGAATTTGTGTTCCTACCCCTGCATCACACTGCCTCCCAGCATCTTTTCTTCCCATACACCTTAACAGGCAGCCAGCAGTTTGGCTTAGTAGCAGGAGTTCTGGACTCTGAGTTCAAAGACCTAAGTTTGATTCCTTGTTGTGATATTTCCTGGCTGGGTAACCCTAAACAATTGGCTTGCCTTCTCTGCATCTTGATTTCTACATCCATAAAGTGGAGATAGAAATGCTTACCCTACCTTACTCATGGGTTGGTTGTGAGAAAAGAAAAATGTAAACCTGGGCAGAAAGGTATATTACACTTGCTGTTGTACCCTGGAACACATTCTTCAAGCTTTTCTTCCCTTTTTGTTGTTATTGTTGCATGTCCAAGTCATTGATCTCTCCATCCTCTTCTTTTTTGAAAGACATATAGTACAATTCATAAAGTACCAGACCTGAGGTCAGTAAGACCTAAGTTCAAATTCATCTCAGACACTTACTGGATATGTGATCCTGGGCAAATCACTTCACCCTGTTTGCCACAGTTTCCTCATCTGTAAAATGTAGAGGTGAAAATGGCAAACCACTCCAGTATTTATGCCAAAAAGACCCTAAATGAGGTCATGAGGAGTCAGACATGAACAACTGAACAACAAGTGCTATTATTAGATCAAAGAGTATGCATAGTTTTATAGCCTTTTGGCCATAGCTCCAAAGTTTTCTCCAGAATGATTGAACTCCAGCAACCATGCATTTGTGTTCCTATTTTTTCATATCCTCTTCAGAATTTATCATTTTTCTTTTATGTCATGTTAGCCAATCTGATAGATGTGAGGTGGTGCTTCAGAGTTGTTTTAATTTGCATTTCTCTAATCAATAGTGATTTAGAGCATTTTTCTGTAACTATTAGTAGCTTTGATTTCTTCTTCTGAAAAATGCCTGTTCATCTCTTTTGACCATTTATCAATTGGGGAATGCCTTTTAATTTTATAAATTTGGCTCATAAACAAGTCATAAATTTGTGAACCTTATATATTTGATAAATGAGGCCTTTATCAGAGAAACTTGCTGTAAATCCCCCCCAACTTCTCTGCTTTCCTTCTAATTTTGGCTGTATCAGCTTTGTTTGTGCAAGCCAAAATTATACATTTTGCATCCCTTAATCTTCTCTGTCTCTTGTTTGGTCACAATCTCTTAGTCATAGATCTGATAGGCAAAATATTCCACACTCTCCAAATTTACTTATGATATCATCCTTTAGGTCTAAATCATGTACCCATTTTGAGATTATCTTGGTATACAGTGTAAGTTGACTTCTGTCAAAATACTTTCCAGTTTTCCCAACGATTTTTATTGAATAGTGAGTTCTTGCCCCCAAAGTCTTGATCTTTGGATTCCCTAAACACTAAGTTCCTATGATCATTTACTACTAGGTATTGTATATCTAATATATTCCACTGATGATTAGTGCTTTGTAATATAGTTTGAAATCTAGTACTGCCAGGCTACCTTCTTTCACATTTTTTCATTGATTCCTTTGATATTCTTGACTTTTTGTTCTTCTAGGTGAATTTTGTTACAATTTTTCTAGCTCTACAAAATGATTCATTGCTAGCTTGATTGGTATGGCATCCATAAGTAAATTAATTTAGGTAGAATTGTCATTTTTATTATATGGACTCAGTTTACTCATTAGGAATTAGTATTTCTCTAATTATTGAGATCTGTCTTTAATTGTGTAAAAATTGTTTTGTAATTGTGTTCATATAGTCCCTGGGTTTTCCTTGATAGATAGACTTGATATATAGATAGACTCCCAAGTATTTTATATTATCTATAGTTCTTTTACATAGAATTTACCTTTCTATCTTTTCCTGCTATATTTTGTCAGTAATATATATAATCTTTCAATTGTTCTAAAGCTGATAATAATTTCAACTAGTTTTTTAGTTGGTTCTCTAGGGTTTTCTAAGTATACTATCATATCATGTACAATGAGTGATAGTTTTGTTTCCTTAGTGCCTATTTTTATTCCTTCAATTTATTTTTCTTGTCTTGTTGCTATAGCTAGCATTTCTAATACAATATTAAATAATAGTGGTGATAATGGCCATCTTTATTTCACTCTTGATCTTATTGGGAAGGCTTTTATTTTATCCCCAAGAGAATGAATTTTTGTGGGCAAAAACATTTTAGTAGCTCCTAAGGGAACATTTTTAAAACATTTTTAAAAATCAAAATACATAAAGCCCAGAAAAAATAGGTTTGGAATCAGGAAACTTGAGTTCAAATTCAATCACTACTATTTAACTGTGTAACCTTGGGCAAGTTGTCCCATCACTTTTGGCATAAGTTTTGCAATCTATAAAATGAGGTTGGATTTGAAAATCTCAAAGTTCCTCTACCCCAGCTCTGAAATGCTTTGGTCTATGATATAAATCATCCCTATTTCTGTTAATGTGCCCTGATCCATGGAGTCATCAAGGTGTGCAATCTCAATGTCATCCTTGATTCTTCCCTCCCCATTGATTCCTATATGTAATCAGTTACATTTATTTGCCTGTTAATACAGCCACCACCCTAGTTTGACCCCCATTCCCTCTCACCTAGACTATAGCAATATGGTCTCTCTGTCTCAAAGTCTCTCCCCACTCCATGCTGTCCTGTAAACTTCAATCAAACTGACATTCCTGCAGCATAGATCTGGCCATTACACCCCCTGCTACTAAAAAATAGTCTTCAATAGCTGTCTAATGCTACTGGGATCCAATATAAATTTTTCACCTTGACATTTTTAAAGCCCTCTACAATCTGCCTTCCACCTACTTTTCAATTTTATATCATACAATTTCCCCTAGCACACCATCTGTTCTAATCAAATTGGCTGGCTAGCTCCTCTGCACACATCATATTTTCTCTCCAGTCTCTATGTATTTGTATTAGTGTTATCTCACGTCAGTAATACACTCTTCACCTCCACTTTGTAGAATCTCTAGCTTCCCTCAAAGCCCAGCTTAGATGCCACTTCCTCCAAGAAGAGTTACTTGATTTCCACCCCCTCCTCCCAGGCATTAGAATACTCTTCCCTTTAAATTTTTTTTTAATAGTTTTAATTTATTTATCTGGGTACATAGTGTATCCCTCCAGCAGAATGGAAGATCCTTGAGGGCAACAGCTTTTTTTTTCCATTTTTATTTTCTATTTGCTAGAACCTAGAAGAGTAGTTTATACATATTAGGTGTTTCCTATATATGCACTGAATTTTGGCTTGAATCTATTACTATTCAAGTTTATAGGATTAAGAAATCTCATGCTAAGCTTTCTATAGTTCAGCTGTGCATCAGAAACATTGCTTCCTAGGTCTTGCTATCCTACTTCTTCTACACAGAAGGCCACCCATCCTGTTTACTTCTGTATCATTTATAAGATGCATAGGTTTGGGGGCAGCTAGGTGGTGCAGTGGTTAGAGCACTGGCCCTGAAGTCAGGAGGACCTGAGTTCAAATCCAACCTCAGACACATATCACTCACTAACTGTGTGACTCTGGGCAAGTCACTTTAGCCCAATTGCCTCACTAAAAAAAAATGCATAGGTTTTAGGGAAGAGAATTCCAACACACCCTGGCCAAGTTGTCCACAAGGTTATGTCAGCTAGGTGAAGCAGTGGACAGGGTGCTAGACTTAGATTCAGGAAGGCCTAAGTTCTAATCCTTCTTCAGACATTGACTAGCCATGTAAACTTTGGTAAACCACATATCCTCTCAAAGCCTCAATTTCTTCATCAGTCAAGTGAGAATATTAATAGCATCTACTTTATAGAGTTGTTATGAAGATCAAATGAGATAATACATGTAGGTCCATTTACAAATCTCAAAATGCTGCTATCGTAAAATATTTATTATGTATTATAACAATGTATTATAAAATGCTAGCTATTATTATTAGCTCTTTTACCTTCCCGCTAGTAGAAGCTCTCTCTCCGATGCTCGCTTTCGAATTTTGGTATAGATGTCAATGGTGAACAGCGTGCTGGAACTATTGAAGATAGAGGTGAGGGAGCTCATGAGTGATGCCAACATGGCTGACAACATCAGTCCCCGAAGTCCTTGAACAGTAACCAAAAAAAAGAAGAAATTATCTTCTTTTGCACTTATGAGCCAACATCCATGGCCTTATGCTGTCCTTCTACAGTTCCTGAACCTTTGAGTATAATCCAAGCACAAAATGTCAGAGCTGGTAGGGTCTTAGAACAGAGAATGACAGAGCTAAGATAGATCTTAGAAAGAGACTGGCCGACCTTAAAGGGACCTTAGAATATAAAACGTCAGAGGGCAGCTAGGTGACACAGTGAATAGAGCTCTGGCCTTGGAGTCAGGAGGACCTGAGTTCAAATCTAGCCTCAGCCACTTTCTAGCTATGTGACCCTGGGTAAATCACTTAATTCCCATTGCCTCAGTAAAAATATATATATATAAAACATCAGTATTGGAAGGGACCATATCACATAGAAGGTCAGAGCTGGTCAAACAGGGGCTGACCCATACTCAATTTTCATTTGCCACCTTAAGTGTTTATATGGGAACCAGAGACCCTCTTATCCATATTTGAGGAAAACTTGACATGAGCTGTACTTGTAATTTATTTATCCTGGAATAATTTTAGTTGGGTCAATGACCCAAAATGACTCATCAGAGATTGAATTTGAGCCCAAGTCCTCTTACTCCAGAGACAGGGCACCTTCTAGAGTAGAGTAGAGATATGGGTTTGAATTTGCCCTTCTGCCTTACTAGCTATGTGACACTAGGAAAGTTCCTTCACATCTCTGAGCCTTGGTTTCTTCCTCTGTGAAATGGGGTTAATCATGATGAATCATACTTAGTCTACCTGCTTCACAAGGATAGTTGAGAAGAAAGTGCTTTATAAACTTCCAAGTCCTGGAGAAATGGGAGACAAGATTATCACGAAGTTATCACCACTCTCTGAGCTTCATTTCTTATCTCTTCAATGAGGGCTTGGACTAAATGATCTCTAAGGTTCTTTCTGGACTCCAGAGGTCTATACAATCTAATCTCCATTAGCTTTGTTATTTGCCAGGTAATCATGGTCAGCTCTTGGGAGTCCCCATTGACATGAAGTCAGGGAAATGGTCTGGTTGACCTCTAGTCCTCTGGTTTTTGTGATTAGAAGATTTTATGGGGGTGCTGATCTTTTTCTACTTTTTTCAGATAAGTAAAGTATATCAGGAATTCTAGATTAGCCTGATGGATCAACGGATCATAGGTTGAGACCTGGAAGAACCTTGGAAGCCATCTTGTTCAACTTCATTTTACAGGAAAGGAAACTGAGGCAGACAGAGGTTAAGTTACTTGGCAAGTGTCTCAGAACTAATCAGTGTTGGCAAGTTTTGAAAAGACTCCTTGAAAGTAAGATTGAAAGAAAGTAATTTACAAAGAGATAAACTGAAGTGAGTCCAGAAGTGGCCATGAAGAATAGTGAGGAGCAGGAGAGAGGACATGATAACTGTGCTCATATATTAGAAGGCATATCCTAAGAGAGTGGGATTAATCTTGTTTACCTTGGCCCCAGAGGGCAGAACCAGGAGCCATGAGTGGAAGTTACAAGAAGGCAGAATTAGGTCCAGTGTTAAGAAAAACATCGTAACAATTGGTATTATTCTAAAGTAGGACGGGCTGCCTTTGGAGGTCTTCAAGCAGAGACTGAGTGACTCCTTGTTGGGTATAATGTAGAGGGGATTCTTAGTCAAGGCCAGATGGAAATAGATGATCCCTGAGGTCCTTCCCAACCATGCAACTCAGTGAGAAAGGGCTCCATTACTTGCTGGAGACCACTAAAGTCACTGTTTATGACACCCTTTGATGAATGACATGAAGACCCCATAGGGACACTAACCATTGGGCATGAGCTCTACCACCAGCTTCGGGTAGGCCATGTTGGTGCAGCCCACACTGGTGCCACAATGTTTCTTACATTCTGAAGGTACGACACAGGCTATTTCATCTGTGGAGAGAGCCAGAGAGAATTTCAGTCAGCCAGGGTCCAAGCAGCAAAGAGAGCCAAGCCCACTGGTGTAGTAGCTGGAACAGGAGCTTCTGAGTGTCTACCTTGGCAGTGGCTGATGGGCTTCACCTGGGTCCAGGACATTCTGCCTGGCAGTTCCCACGTAGAAGTAACCCCCCTTGAGATATGTGCCCAATTTGAGAGTTGGGGCTAACAACTTAGTAGGGCACAAAAACCTGTTTCTCTGCTTCCCACTTTTTCATTGAACTTGCCCAGGATGTCTCGACTCTTGAAAACATATTTTTAAAATACATTTTCTTGCTGTCCTTGTTATACCCCTTGAAGACAGTGACTTGTGTTTGTCTTTGTATTTCCAGAACCATCACAGTGCCTGGCACATAGTAGGCACTAAATAAATGCTCATCATTTGGTTGATTACATCATAATCATTTCTGAGGATTAAAAAAAAAACCTTCTCTCCCTGCCCTGAGATTGAATAAAGAACAATAAATTCAGTAACATTCAATAAAGTGACTTCATCTGATAATGTATACAATTTTCTTTATCTAGACCAGGCTTTTTTCATCTTTCAGAAAGTGCCCTGGGCCCCTTAGGCAGTCTGATGGGCCCTTTAGACGCGCCCCCCCCAACTCAACACAATGTTTTTAAGTACATAAAATAAAACAAAATACATAGGATTCAGTCACAGCTAAGTGGCACAGTGGATAGAGTACCAGCCCTGGAGACAGGAGAACCTGAATTCAAAGCCTGCCTTAGACACTTACTAGCTATGTGACCCTGGGCAAGTCACTTAACCCCTACTGCCAACAACAACAGTAAAAAAAAACATTGGATTCAAAAGGAAATCAATCATGCTGAAGCAAGGCAACCAAAAGAGGGTGTTTTTGAAGTTCACAGACCCCCCAGGTTAAGAACTCCTGATTTAGAGAATATTTTTCTGTATTTAATCAGTCAATCAACATTTATTAAGTGCCTACTATATGCCAGGCACAGTGCTAAATGCTGAGTATACAAAAAGAGGCAAAAGACACTCTTTATCCTCAAGGAGCTTACAAGGAGTGAATAACATGCAAACAAATACATTCAAAGAAATCCATATACAAGACAAATGGGAAATAATTAGCAGAGGGAAGACATTATAATTAAGAGGGGGAAGGCTTCCTCTAGAAGGTGGGATGTTAGTTGGGACTTAAAGGAAGCCAAAGAGGTCAGTAATCAGAGCAGAGGGTGGAGAGCTTTCCTGGCCTGGGGCATGAAAGAATGTCTGGAGCCAAGAGAGGGAGGGTCTTATTTGTGTGACAAACAAGAGGCCAGTGTCACTGCATCAAAGAGCATAGGGTGGGGAACCAGGTGTGAGAAGTCCGGAAAGGGAGAAGGAGGGAGGTTATGAAGGGCTTTGAATGCCAAACAAGAGTTTGTATTTTCTCCTGGAGGCAAGATGAAGCCAATGGAGTTTATTGAGTAGAGAGTGACAAGATGGGACATAAGCTTTAGGAAAATTACTTTAGATGCTGAATGAAGGATGGACTGAAGTGAGGAGAGACTTGAGGCAGCAAACTCCCCCAGCAGCTATGGCAATAGTCCAGGTGTGAAGTGATGAGGGTCTGTACCAGGGTAGGGGCAGTGTCAGAGGAGAGAAGGGGGCATATCTGAGAGATGTTGCAAAGGTATAATCAACAGACCTTGGCAAAAGCCTGAATATGGCAAGGTGGGAAATAGTAAAGAATCAAGGATGCCATCTAGGTTGGGAGCCTGGGGGACTGGGAGGAAGGTGTTGCCCTCAACAGTAATAAAGAATGTGTGGGGTGGGGGGAAACAATGAGTTCTGTTTTGGATATATTGAGTGTAAGATGTCTACTGGACGTCCAGTCTGAGATGTTTGAAAGACAGTTGGAGATCCATTTTAGACTTGTATTAGCCTCGAGGTAGATATTCCTTATTATCTGTTTTCTTATGCCATGATTTATTTTTCAGCTTTGTTACTCAGTATTCAACTTCCTTTTAGGGGTTTTTGAATGATCTCTCAAAGTAGGGAGGCAGCATGATAAAACAGAATAAACATTGGTTCTGGAACCAGAGGACATGGGTTCAAATCCAACCTCAACTATTACCAGCATGACCATAGTGACTTCACTTAACTTCTGTCTGCCTCAATTACTTCAACTGTAAAATAGGGGTAATAATAGTACCTATCTCTTAGGGTTGTTGTAAGGCTCAAATGAGATAATATTTGTAAAGTGTTTAGCACAGTGCTTGGTATATAATAAATGCTTAATAAATGTTTGTTTCCTTCCTTCCTTCCTACTACCTGTCCTCTGAGTCCATTCTGCCTTTAGACCTATAATCCTAACTTTAATTCACATGGTAACCATTGTTTAAGGAAAACTAGTGTCAGTTCAAATCCAGTATCAAATACTTCCTAGCTATGTGACGCTTGGCAAGTCACTTAACATCTCATTGCCTGACTAAATAGATCCGTTAGATGCAGTGGATAAGGAAATGCAAACCATTCCAGTATCTTTGCCATGAAAACCCCAAATGGGGTCATGAAGGATTGGATACAACTGAAAAACAGCAATAAAAACCACCATTGTATATTGTTCTCTTGGTTCTGCTGATTTTGCTCTGCATCAGTTTACACAAATTCTCCTGGGTTTTGACTAAATGGCTCATATTTTTCATTGCTAACAGTACATTAATATTCCAGTATATTCATATGCCTCAGTTCTTTCAGCCATTCTCCAATCAATGGACACCCAATTTGTGCCAGTTCTTTGCTACCACAAAAGTGCTGCTCCAGGCATTTTAATATTTGTTGTTGTGAACCTTCATCTCTGTCATTGACCTTCTTGAGACTATGCTCAGATATGAGACTACTGAGTCAAAGGGCATGGAAAGTTTCATCATATTTCTTGCATAATTCCAAACTGCTCTCCAGAATGGTTGAACCAATTCACATCTCCACCAACAGTTTACACATACCTGTCTTCCCACAGCACCTCTACCATTGATTATTCCCATTTTCTGTAATCTTTGTCAATTTTCATGGTTTGACATAAAAATCTAGAGCTGTCGTAATTTACATTTGTCTTATCTAGAGCATATTTTCAAATGGCCATTCATAGTTTAAAATTCAGTTGGAAATAGAATTAAATCACAGGTGAAAATAAACAGTAGTGGGAAACTTCAATCTTCCCCTCTCAGAACTAGATAAGTCTAACCAAAAAATAAATAAGAAAGAAGTCAAGGAAGTGAATAAAAATTTTATATGAGTTAGATATGATAAATATCTGGAGAGAGTTGAATGGGAATAGAAAGGAATGTACCTTTTTCTCGGTGCTACATGGTATCTTTGCAAAGATTGACCATATATTTATTAGGGCATAACAATTTCATACTTGAAAGCAGAAAAACAAATATTAAATGCATCTTTTTCAGTTCACAATGCACTAAAAATATATATTTAACAAGGGACTACAGAAACAGAATTAAATCTAATTGGAGATTAAACAACCTAATATTAAAGAATGAGTGGGTTAAAAGAACAAATCATAGAAATAATCAATAATTTCATCAAAGAGAATGACAATAATAAGGTGATATATTAAAACCTGTGGGATACAGCATAAGCAGTAATCAGAGGAAAATTTTTACCAATAAAATAGAAAAAGAACAGACCAATGAATTGGATATGCAATTTTTAAAAACTAGAAAAAGAACAAACTAAAAATCTCCAACTAAACACTAATTGAGAGTCCTAAAAATTAAAGATGAGATTAATAAAATTGAGTTTAAAAACCACTTCATTAATACATAAAATTAGGGGCTGGTTTTATGAAAAAGACAATAAAATAGATAAAACTATTGGTTAATATGATTTTAAGAAGAGAGAGAAGAAAACCAAATCACTAATATTGAAAAAAGGATGAATATGCCACTAATAAAGATGAAATTAAAGCAATTAGAAGGAATTTTTTTTTTTGGTGAGGCAATTGGGGGTTAACTGACTTGCCCAGGGTCACACAGCTAGTAACTGTCAAGTGTCTGGTCTCAGACCGGATTTGAACTCAGGTCCTCCTGACTCCAGGGCCAGTGCTGTATCTATTGCACCACCTAGCTGTCCCTAGAAGGAATTGTTTTGCCCAATTATATGATAATAAATTTAACAAGTTAAGTGAAATGGAAGAATATTTACAAAAATGTAAGTTGCCTAGATTAGCAGAAGAGGAAATAGAATATCTAAATAGATCTATTTTAGAAAAAGAAATTGAATAGGCCATAAATGAGCTTCCTAAGAAAAAAGCACCAGGACCAGATAGATTTACAAGTGAATTCTATCAAACACTTAAAGACCAACTAATTCCAATATTAAATAAATTATTTGGAATAATAGGCAAAGAAAGGGTCCTACCAAACTTTTTTTATGAAACAAATATGATACTAATACTTGAACCAGGAAGAGTAAAAAAAGGGCCCCCTGCTGTGAGGCTGGCTGGCTGCTACTGCTGCTCTTGGACCCTGCACCCCTCCTACCCCAATGAGAAAGACCTTTCTTGCAGTGCTGGTAAGCTGCTTCCCTGCTCCTAGAACAGTTCTTAGGTGGTTTTCTAGTTTTTTGGAAGGGAATTTGAGAGGCCTTCAGAAGCGTCCTTCCTCACTCTACTATCTCAGCACCATAAATCCAACAGGACCAGATCTCAAACTATGTTATAATAAAGTCAGTAATTATCAAAATTATCTGGTACTGGCTAAGAAATAGAAAGGTAGATCAATGGAATAGAGTAGATATACAATCTACAGCAGCAAATGACTGTAGTAACCTTGTGTTTGACAAGTATAAAGACTGAAGTTTTGGGAATAAGAATTCATTATTTGGTAAAAATTGCTGGGAAAGCTGTAAAGCAGTCTGGCAGAAATTGGACATGGACCAATATCATATGCCATTTACCAAGATAAGTCCAAAATGGATACATGACCTAGATATAGAAGAAGATATTACATGAAAATGGGGTAATTACTTAACAGACTCATGGATAGGTGAACAATTTATGAATAAGCAAGAAATAGAAAGCAGCATAAGGTATAAAATGGTTAATTTTGATTGTGTTAAATTAAAAAGGGTTTGTATGAATAAAACCAATGTAACCAAGATTAGAAGGAAAGCAGAAAATTGTGGGGAAAGTTTTACAATTTCTCAAACAAAGATCTGATATCTCAAATATATAAAGAACTTCATCAAATCTATAAGAATATGAGTCATTCCCCAATTGATAAATGGTCAAAGGATATAAACAGGCAGATTTCCAATGAAGAAATCAAAACAATTTGTGGTCATATAAAAATGCTGTAAATCATTCTTGATTCAAGAAATGCAAATTAAAACAATCTTGAGATATCATTTAACACCTCTCATATTGGCTAAAATGATAGAAAGAGAAAGTGACAAATGTTGGAGGGGATGTAAAAAATTGGGGGACTAATTCACTGTTTGGTGGAATTGTAAACTGCTCCAACCATTTTAGAGAGTAATTTGAAATAATGCTCAATGAGTTACACAACTGCCTATACCCTTCAACCCAACTTCAACCCAACCAATACCACTATTAGGTCTGTTTCCCAAGTTGATTAGGGGAAAAGGAAAAGAATCTTTATGTTCTAAAAATAGTTATAGCAGTTCTCTTTGGGGTGGCAAAGAACTTGAAATTGCAGGGATGCCTATCAATTGGGGAATGGCTAACAAGTTGTGGTATATGATTGTGATGGAACACTACAGTGCTATAAAAAACGATGAGCTTGATGATTTTAGAAAAACATGGAAAGATTTGTATGAAATAACTAAGAGTGAAATGAGCAGAACCAAGAGAATCTTGTGTACAACAACAACAATATTGTTTCAAGAACAACTTTTAGTGACTAAGTCATTTTGACTATTATAAATACCCAAATTAACTACGAAGGACTTATGAATGAAGATGCTCTCTCTATCCAGAGAGAGAACTGATAAATAGATGCATGTATAGTATGGATTTACATATATATGTAAATATGCATGTTGTATGTATATATATCTACATATATATGTAAATATGCATATGTAAATGTATATGCATATTGGTGTCTAATGGTAGCCATTTCTAGAGTGGAGAGGAGGGGCAGGAAAAGAAAGTTATGTGATAACTTTATTATGTATTTAAAAGGAAAAGTAAGTTGTACATAATAGAGTTGCAGTTTCACGTGCATAAAAACAAACAAGCAAAACCACAGCAACAACAAAAAAGAAAGAAAAGAAAATTAACCCACATGTCTCATTCTACAAGTATTCCAGGTAATTGAAATTCCATCACAACCTGAAGGTACCATACAGATCTAGATCCAGAACCAGATCTAGAACCAGAAGGGGCCTTAGAGCCCACTTGGTCCAACCTCTTCATTTCATGGATCAGGAAGTTCAGGTCCAGTGATGAGAGTGACTTACCAGGTGGTAAATGGCAATCACATGGCTAGTAAGTTACAAGCTTGGACCCAAACTTGGTGCTCATTGACCCCATATTTAGTGCTCTTCCCCTGTGCTATATCCTTCCAAATTACAAGTTCCCCTGAAGATAGTTCACACCCCAAAATGAGATCTTGAAGGGAAAAGGATTTGGAGAGAAACACATGATAATAACATTCATTACTGACCACAAGGTAGAGGAGATGTGTGGCCAACCCTTTAACCACCACAGTGTTTCCTAGGGCCTGAGGGTGAGCAGATGTCAGGGAGGGCTTACCTGGGTACAGAACGCGGCTGATCATACCAGGCATCACCATGAGGAAAAGGGGCAGCAGCTTCAGGTAGCCACACAAGATGCAACCAGCTTTCACATGAGACAGGTTCTTCCCTGAGAGGCATCGCTGCACAATCACCTGCCAGGGAAACAGAAAGTGGGGGTGTGTAGGACCCCAGGGCTCCCTTGCTCAAGTTAAAAGGTGCTCCTGCCTAGGAGGGGGATGTGGCCAGGTTCTCATTTCAGGTAGCCTTCAGCTCAGTGTAGAAAAGAATGTTATAGAATTGAAGCTGTCTGGCACTCCAGCACTGGAATGGACAGCCTAGGATGTAGGTAGTAAGTTCCCCACCACAGGAGATATTCAATCAGAAGATGAACAACCATCTATTGATAATGCTGTAGGCAAGCATTTGGACTATATGGCCTCTCAGATAGTGAGGTATTTGTTTTTGCTTTGTTTTGTTTTGTTTTTGATGTTTTTGCTGACCAAAATACAGCATTGAAGCAAACAGGAGAAATGTATCACAGCAGAGCAAGTATTATTTTGCTGATTGTGCCCTGCCAGGCCTAAACCTCAGATCACTCCCACCTTCCACTACCTCCTACAAATGTGCTGCTGGAGGAAGGTGGAGAAAATCATTAAACTGTCCTGATTGGGTCCAATGCAAATTTATGCTACACAACCTAAACTGGGCCCTCACTGCTGCTTGGCAATCCTCCTATACTGCCCTTATCAACTCATGCTCCCATTCTCCAAAGTGGCTCTTCCAGACCTTTTAATTCCTTTAATTCGAATCTCCCATGGCTCCTCCTGCACCCATTTTCTCAGCTGAGAACCTTAAGAACCTCATATTTTATGGCAAAAAAAACTGTATCCATTTTCCATGAACTCCCTCCTCTCCTTTCCCCATCTCCTATCATTCATAGGCCTTCTGCCACCTTCTCCTCCTTCATCCCTGTCTCACATAAAATGGCCCAAGTCCTTACCAAGATTAGCCCCTCTACCTTCTCAAGTGACTCCATTTCATATTGTCTCCTCCAATACATTGTCTCCTCTCTCTGTCATCCCCACTCTCACTTATCTTCAATCTCTCCCTTATTCTGGCTCATTCCCTACTGCCTAAACACATGTTCATTTCCCTCCCATCCTGAAAACGCTCTCACTTGACCCTTCCATCCCTACTGCTGAAGAAAGCAACACCATCCTCCTAGTCTCCCAGATTCACACCCTAGGAAGCATCCTGGACTCCTCACTCTCTCTCACTTCCCATATCAAAGTTGGTGCCAAGGCCTGTGAATTTCACCTCTGCAGCATCTCTCCAATATGTCCCCTTCTCTCCCCTGACACTGCCCCCTTCCTGGTGCAGGCCACCATCACCTCCTGCTTGAACTATTGCAATAGCTGGAGAGGGGGTCTGCTGCCTCAAGTCTTTCCCCACTCCAGTCTGTCCTCCATTCAGACACGACACCATAGTGATCTTACTAAAGCTCAGGCCTGATCATGTCACACACACACACACACACACACACACACACACACACACACACACACGCAATCAGTAAACCCCAGTGGCTCCCTCTAGCTTCCAGGAGTAAATACAAAATGCTGTTTGGCATTCAAAACCCTTCATAACTTTTGTCCCCTCCTCCCTTTTCAGTTTTCTTATATCTCACTCCACAATACGTACTCTTTAATCCATTGACACCGTCCTTCGGGCTGTTCCACAAGCAAGACCCTCCATCTCTCAGTTCCAGGCATTCTCTCTGTCCCCAACATCAGGAATGCTCTATCTCCTCCTTTCTGATTATTGAGTTCCCTGTATTTCTTTGAGTACAAACTAAAATCTCACCTCCTACAGAAAGCTTTCCTCAACCCCTCTTAAATCTAGTGCTAATTAATTCCTATTTATCCTGTACATAGCTTGCTTTGAATATAGTTGTTTGCATGTTATCTCCCCGCATTGTATCATGAGTTCCTTGAGGACGGGGATTTTTTTTGCCTCTTTTTGTATCCCAAGTGCTTAGCATAGTGCCTGGAACATAATAGGTGCATGATAAATGTTTATTGAATAACTGGCTCGGCAATCACAAAAGCTGTGTTCAAATCTCATCTTTGACATTTACTCCATGTGTGACCTCGAGCAAATCATTTCAATGTCTCTGGGCCTCAGTTTCTTCATCTGTAAAATGAAGGTATTGGACTCTATAATCAGTATGATCTTGTGAGCTTTGCTGCTGATGGGTAGACACAATAAAGGGCAGAATGTGGGTCAACTGATGGGGGGAGAGGCACAGGAGAACAACTATTTTGCTTTTCAAGAACTTTTGTGCAGGAAAAAAAGGCTGGATTCAAGGTAGGGAGGGGAAATTAGGAAATAATTTCTGGGAACAGTATTGGCTGAAAATATAGTTTAGAGAAGATTTTAGATGAATTAATGTATGATTAATGCATACTGGCTCACTGAGGCAAGCTGGGGATGCTTGGGAACATATTTCTAACCTCTTGAGGTTAATGACCTGAAGGACAATCATTAAATTATCACAAACCAACATTTGTTGCTTCTAATCAGAGAGAGACTTCAGAGCTGGAGGAGTCTGACCCTGTGGGGAAATACAGCCATGATTCTGTGACAATTTTTTTGTTTTGGATTCTTAACTGTGTGGCCGTGAGCAAGTCCTTTACCATCTCTAGACCTGTTTCCCCCTGCAAGATGAAGAGGAGCTTAGAGGTCTTTAAATGCATGATCCCATGAAATTTGAACTGTAACTGAATGAAAGTGAATAAATGAGTGCATGTGCATTAGAGAAGAGATAGAGAAAAGAGAAAGTGCATGTGTGAAAGATGAGGGGAGGGAAAAAGGAAAGGTAAGAGAAAAGAGAGAAGAGATGAAACAAAGGTGGAGGAAGGGAAGAGGAAGAAGAAAAGAAGAGAGGAAAGGAGAAAGAAGGAGAACGGGAGAGAAGAAGGAAGGAGAAAGTGAGAAAGGATGAGAGAGGGAAGGGGAAACAGGGAGAGAGGGAAAAAATGAGAAGTTGAGGAAGTTAAGATAGATCTTTGAAAATTGGAATTTGATGTCTGCTTGTTTCCTAGAAATTAGAGGTTTTCAAAAGAGGAGTGGAATATCTCAGGAGCTGGATAGTGCCCCATCACTGAAGGTCTTCAAGCAAAGACTGGATTGATGGCCAACTCAGCTCTGAGATTCTGTGACTCAGTGCTTCGGTGACTCGCTTCCTTCTTTCCTCTAATCTCACTTTGTATTCTGGTCCTATTGACTTTTTAGTGTCGTTGCCATTTTGGCATTGGAATGTTGATGTTTGGGTCCTTGGCTCTACTACTCACTCACTGGTTAGCTGTGACTTTGGGCAAGTCATTGCCCTTCTGGCTTTAGCTTTCTTCTTTGTAAAATGAGGCTGTTCATTCTTCCCCTGTCTCCCTCAAAGCATTCTTAGGACATTCTATTGAAAGGATGAATGGGAAACACTTTGAAAGGAAGAAAGTTCTTTGCACAAACAAGGACATCATCTTTTTCTTAGGTAGCATGAAAAAAGCACAGACCTTGAAATCAGCTTTGGGTTTGAATTTCACCTCTTCTACTCAATTTTGCTCAGCAAATAATTACGAAATGCCCACTATGTGCTAGTCCCTGAGGATAGAGACTTGAAAATGGATGAGTCCCTGTCCTCAAGGAGTTTCCATTCTTCTAAAGGAATGCACCCAAGTAAGGAAGGACTAAGTATATCCAAAGGAATTTCCAGTGGTAGAGAGTAGTTAACAACAGGAGGGCCAGGAAAGGCCCTGAGCAGAGCTTTGAAGGAAGTCAGGGTTTCTAAGAGGCAGGTGAGGCAGGGAGGGTATGAGGCATGGCTCACACACACTATCTGTGTGACTTTAGGCAAGTCTCCTAAGCTCTCTAAGCCAGAGCTTCCTCACTTGAAAAATGAAGAGGTTGAACTGTACAGTGGGCTGATCACAGGCTTTGGGGTCAGAGGACCTGGGTTTGAATCCTGCCTCTATCTCTCACTAGCCATATAGTCCTGGGCAAGCAATTTAACCACTCTGGGCCTCAGTTTCCCTATTTGTTAGGAGAGGAGGCTGAGTTAGAAGATCTCTGAGGTCCTTTCCAGCCCCAGGTCTAGGATCTCATTCTTTCTATTGTATAGAGAAAAGTGAAGTGGTCCTTAGCCTCTTCTCTTTTATGGACATCTCACCTGGTCTGTGCACCAGTACCAAAGAGAAACAAGGTTCATTCCAATGATGATTCCTGGCCATGGCAGTTCACCAGTGATGGGATCCTGGAAGAGGTGGAAGGAGTCTGCTTTGGGCATGTAGCATTCTGGGTGCAGGGTTACATTTTGGTCAGTGATGACAGATGGGATGGCTTTCATGTACTTCTCAGTGAAGGCCTCATACCCTCCCACTTCTGCAAAAGCTAAAAAACATCAGAAAAAAAGTTAACTCTGAGTGTCCAATGAGAGTCAAGAGGCCACATCAGGTGAACCTGTCCTCAGGCCATGACAATTATGTCCATGTATGTGAATGTCATCAACATCCATAGTGTCCCAAACCTATTATTCTCCCCGCCTCTCTCTCAAAAGCCTCTTCTGATCCCCTCCAGGTCATCCTCTTTCCCTAAATTATCTTGTATCGTGTTCACTTGAGGATTCATTCTTTTCTTCCAGGAGAATATAAGCTCCTTGAAGGCGGGGATGATTTCCCTTCTGTTTTTGTATCCCTATTACCTAATATGGTGCCCAACATGGGATTACAATAGTCCTTCCCCATGATCTTCCTCTAATGTCTTCTTGTCAAGTGGAGGTCACCCCAGACTCTTAAAGACCATAATAGCCAAGTGCAAAGTCAGGAAGGTTGTGCTCTGCTGGGAGGTTTGAGTGCTGGCCCAGTGATGGTTGATGCGTGTTTGTCATCTGAGAAATCAGACTGAATTCAGGGAGGCTCATCTCTAATTGTTTTGCCAGATGATCCTTTTTGTCTGTTTGGTTGATTTTTTTGCTTTTTTGTTTTGTTTTATTATTTGCTCAAGCAATGCCTATAAATTATCTCCTGAGGCATGAAGGAGTTGTGATCTATATCAATGTGGGGAGAGGGGGGAAAGTGGACTCCACCAATGAAATTACAGGTCTTTGAAGCACTGGCTAGTTCCCAGCATTGAATTCCTGTTTGTTTTTGAGTTAATTAGCACCTTTCATTACACTGTCTCAGTCACTGTCTCAGCACAATGCCCAGCACATAGTAGATGCTTAAAAAATTATTATTGACTGACTGAGTGATATAGGTACAAGAAGAAAATTTCATCATAAGCCACTGATCTGCTAGGGGGTTGTTAACCCAAGACTACTTCCTTAGGGAAGCCCCAACAGTACACAGAGCACTATGAAATACCATGACAGGGTCTCCACTCACCTAAAGAGCACAGATAATTGGACATGTTTTCCCTAAACTAATTTCTAAATTCTCTGACCTAGGAGGGGCATATATAACTCACAATTAGACTTTCATGGGGATACTCCCATTACCAGTGAAGATAGCAACCACTCCACACGGTAATAGAAATCTAATTCCTCCAGGGCTGGTCTGCTTCATTTTTGTCTTTGAATTTCCAGTGCCTAATACGGTGTCAAGCACATAGTAAGGATGCATCCTTCCACTGGGTTCACATATGAAGCTTTTCCAGCTCAGTAGCACTAGACATAGTTTGTGTTTCTCTGGCAGAGCCTTTAGAGACATAGGGCCATCTCCATGTAATAATGAATCTACAGAGGAGGAAACTCACATGCCAGGGAAGTAAAAGTTGGATTCTCCAGTGCTGCAGAAGCAGAGTCTTATTTCTGCGTCACATAGCCAACAAAATGCAGAGCTAGATGTTTTCTCTGATCCTCACAAACAACAATAACTCTCCAAAACAGGAATTATATGCAAAAGATAAAGTAATTTCATCTGTTTCCACTGTGTAGGACACCCAGAACCCATGCAAAGCAAAACAAATCAATGAGCTAACAACAGAGAAGGTTAATATCTATGCCCCTCCGATGCCCACCCAGCACTCCTTCCCTCATTACCCAGTAGACAGTAAGGCTGCACAAGCCCACGCACAAACTTGCAACAGAACTCAACCCCACGCTCTGCCACCCTCCTGCATGACGCCAAGGAGAACCGAGCCGAAGAAATTTGATCAGACTGTGATAGCAGCAAGGGGGATCAGGACAGCGTCAAGGAGAGGTGCCACAACAGAGCTTCACCAGAAAGTGGGGCAGGACACGTCTGTGTGTGTATGTGTTTGGGTGTGCGGGGATCTGTGGCACTCCATTGAACCTGAGGGAAAGGACAAAGCATACAACAGGAATGGATATGGTAACCAGCAATATGTGGAACCCATTTGCTGGTTCTTGTATCTAGTCTCTGCCCTGAGACTGATGGGTAGGCATCCCTCCTCTAGGTAGAGCTGCTCTGCTGGCTGCCCTCAACTCCAGGATGCTTACAAGCATCATCTGCCCTGCTCAGGGTGGTTTCTGTCTCTGTTTCAGTCAGTTAGTGGTTGCACCTACAAAAGAGAGGGCAGTCCTCCTTATTATGGTGTACAACTGGTGGTGTTGACCATTCTCTCTTTACTAAGGCAGGGAAGTGTGATAAACTGCAGAATGATTTCCTCCAAAATGTAAGAAATAAAAATGTTATGGCTGCTGAATGGTGCTGCAGTGCCATAAGTTAAAATATGGTCTTCTCAGGGGCAGCTAGGTGGCACAGTGGATAAAGCTCCGGCCTTGGAGTCAGGAAGACCTGAGTTCAAATCTGACCTCAGACATATGATACTTACTAGCTGTGTGACCTTAGTTAGGCAAGTCACTTAACCCAGATTGCCTCACAATAAATAAATAAATAAATGAATGAATGAATGAATGAATAAAATTTAAAAATAGTGTTCTCTACTGCCCTCTGCAGCCTGAGAAAGGAAATCCTCTGGATTTCCTGAGTTGCTCTCTCCTGCTGTCTCTGATTCAAAAGGAGGGAAAATAAGTGTTGTGTCTGTTTTGCTGCGAACTGGGCTTTGTTGTGAGAAGACTTGGAGCTGCTTGGACAAAGTCAAATTTCCTGCTATTTAAAGTTCTGAAGAGTTTTAAAATCTCAAGTTGAAAGCGGGTAACACTTTTTTTCTCAGAGCCTTGGTAAGGGTGACTGAATGAAAAGAGCTTGTAATTGCTTCATCAGCTTTAAAGCTGAAAAGGAAAAGCTTTGCCCAGTAACAGAGTGGTTAGAATAAGCCAGGGAAGCTAGCAGAGAAGTTGTGGTGTATATTGTTCCTGAATGAATTGGGGACATCAAGATCTACTGTCCAGAGTTGTGATTTGTCCCAGGCACGTGATTTTCTCCCTCATGGATATATTAAGCTTCTCAATCTCAATCATGGATGTGCTGAGTTTCTTTAAGTGTGTGCCCATTTTTCCACATGGAGACTGGTATGTATTGGTAAGAGAGTATGACCTAGGTTCATGGGTGGATGTTTGGTTATTCATGATTTGCTTTATCTTAATTAAAATTTAGGAGTATTTGTTCTTTGCCTTCTATTGAGTAAATGTCATGATTACTATAGTATTTGCCTTGTTTAGGAGCCATTCTATGCTTAAAAATTTAATGGTATCATGGCAAATAATTTTGTATAAATGGAAAGTGTAACAAATGATGTTCAGGAGTTATATTGGCATATAGAAGGAGTATATATATGTACACACACATGCACACACACAAGCATGCACACACACCAGTGTTATTCTTCAGATGGGGGGGGAGAGAGAGAAGGAGAGACGGATAAAGAGACAGAAAGAGATTGGCCATACTTCTGGAGACTCTATCCTGACCTACTGAAGAGAATGTAGGTTTCGATAAGCAATCCAGCACAGGGACAAGAGAAAGCCTGGGGAGACATGGGAGTGGAGACCAAACATGCGCTACAGCCTAATTATAGATATGGAGCTAAATAAAACCTCAAAAGTCATCTAGTCCAATCTCCCCATTTTACAGAAAAGGACATTGAGGCAAAGAGAGTGAAAGTGACTTGGCCAGGATCTCAGAATTAAATGCCAAAACTGGAATTTGAATCCAGGTCATCTGGAATCCAGGGCCAGTGCCCTGTCTTACCAGACCACACTGTTCTCCATGATAAATTAGAATCTTCCTCTCCTCCCTAGAGTCCTTCACTGCTAAAATCACAGATTTTCAGAGAGCAAGAATAAAAACCCCAAAGGAGAAGGACAGATGGACAGAGCCAAGAACAGGATTCCTGGCTCTTGGATCATATCCAATGGCTCCCACTGCTCTAGGTCCACTCTCCATTCCCCAGGAAGTCTCTGACCTGGTTCGGTTGTACTTACCATAGCCAGTGAGGATGAAAGAACCGACCAGCATAATGACAGTCTGCAGGGTGTCAGTGTAAATCACAGAGGCCAAGCCACCTGCCGAGGATGAGGAGGGAAATGAGGACATTGGATTCCAGGGGAAGGAAAAGAGTGTGGTAACATAGAAACCATTGCTGCTTTAATGTTGTGTCTCTCTTCTCTCATTCTCCTGCACTCCTTGCTTTCTGCCATGGCTGGGGCTCACCCACCTTGGAGAGTCCTTTGGCCCTGTGTCCCCCTGGTTCTCCTCTCTGATCTACCTAGGCCCTGACCCAATACTCTGCCATAATGTCCAGCAATCATGTATGATCTGGTATAGTAGATGTAGCAGTGACCATGAAGTCTAGAGATACCTGGGTTCAAATCCTGCCTTTGGCCTTTACTAGCTTGGTGCACCAAGCCAAGCCATTTAAACTCTGTGATTCTCAGTTTCCTCATCTCTAAAAATGAAGATGATAATAGAAAATAATAGAAAAATAAACATAATAATAATATTAAAGAAGGGTGGATTAGGAGTCCAAGGACCTAGGTTCGAATCTGTGCTCTGCCAAATCAAGCAGTTCATCAATAGGCATTTATTAAGCACCTACTGTGTGCTGGGCACTAATCTGTGTGACTTTGGACAGGTACATTCACTTCTCCAGGCCTTAGTTACTAACTCCACTGTAAAATGAGGGAGTCAAAACTAGGCACCTTTAAAGTCCCTTCTGGTTCCAAATCTATGGTGCCATCTGTAGTGCCCAACTCACCCAGGGTTGCTGTGAGGCTCTGTAAGACAGTGTGAAGCCCTAGGTACCTGTCAGTTGTTGGGGTCCATGAGATCTAGAGTCACAGTGGAACATTTGATCCAATACCCTTATTTTACAGAGGAATAAACTGAGGTACAGAAAAGGGCACTGACACACCTAAAACCACTCAGGTAGACAAGTCGAGATTTGGAACCTATCCCCTTAAATCCAGGTATGTACTTTTTGCATGATGCTGCATTGCCTGGACCAATTGGGTTGGTGTGACCAATTTGGTTGACCCCAGCATTCAGTGTGTGCATGTGTGCATGCACATGTGTGTGATGCTTCTGGGTCCCATTGAGTGGACATTGACTTGCTGCTTTGGACTATACACACTGACTCTTCCCAGTATTCTTCTAAATTCTTGCCCTCTGCTCTTTGGCCCTCCTCTTCAACCCACAGAAGCCCAGGTCCCAGAAACTAGGCCCTGGGGCCACATTTTTTTGGGTTGGGCTTTGCCCAGGTCACAGGTGGGAAATGAATGGGTGCTGTCTTCTTGCAGTATAGACCCATAGCACTGCTACTTGATGATCTTCCAGCTCTACAACCTTTGTTCTACAGATGAGGAAACTCTGGCTTGGAGAAGGATCATGACTTACCCAATATCTCACAAAAGCAGAGCCAGCATTCAAACCTAGGCCTCCTGCTACTATCTTTTAGACCACATTCCTTCTTGCTTATCTTAGTAACAGAAGCACAAATCTCAGAGCTGCAAAGGTCCTCAGTGGCTATTGAGTCTGGCTCATGCCCCCAAAGAATATCTAGGATAATATGTGATTGTGCAGTCTCTGCTTGAAAGTCTCCAGTGATGGAGAACTCACTACCTCTGGAGGCAGCCTGTCCTACCTTGGGGCAGCTCTCACAGTTACAAAGTTCTCTCATTGATTCAGCCCAAATTTGCCTCTTCACAATGTTCACTCATTGCTTTGGGTTCTGCCTTGTGGGTCAAAGCAAAACAAACAGATCTAATCCTTCTTTTTCATGACACCCTTACAAATACTTGAAGTTAGGCATCATAGACCCCCTAAGTCTTCTCTCCTCCAGTCTAAACATCTCAAGTTTATTCAACCAGACCTTATGCAGTAGGCACTGTCCTGAGAATCCCAGGGGCCTTAGAGGGCATTGAGTCAGATAGAGAACACCCAGCAGAGGCTGAAGGACTCACCTGCAATAGTGAAGATCCCCGTGATGATGAGTAGGATGAAGATGGCTACATAAAGATCCAACCCAAGGGCCACCTTGATGAATATGGCCCCAGAGAACATGTCTGCCTGAGGATGAGAGAAGATGTAAGGATCAAGGAGGAGGGAAGCTTGTGCCTGCTGAAGGATAATGATGATGGAAGAAATAAAATGCTCCAGGTTAGAAACCTGGACTCTGTGTCAGAATCTGGGTCCTGTTCTGGCTACGCCCCTGGATTTACTGTGCAACCTTGAGGAAGTCTCCTTCCCTCTCTGGTCCTCATTCATCTCATCTATAAAAAGAGAGGGCAGACCAAGATGATGGAGATCCAGTGCGTCATTCCCCTGGAAAGTATGTCAGAAGATTTGGAGTCAGAAGATTTGACCTTGAACCCAGGCTCTCTGCCTTACTGCTTGGGTGGTCTTGGCTATTGGCTTCTCCTCTCTGGGTCTCAGTTTTCTTCTCCATGAAATGGGGAGGTCCTACTAAGATGACTAGAAAGTTGTGGGGTCCAGAGGACTACACTGAATTGGGAATCTGAAGCCTTGGGTTTGAATCCTGGCTCTGGGACTTACTGCCTCTGGGATCTTCCTGTCACTGGGCTTCAACTTTCTCATGTGTAACATAAGGAATTCAGACTAAGATGATGGGGAAGTAGTGGGAAAAGTCTGAGTTTGGAGTAAAAAAGCCTCAGTTTGAATCTCAGCTCTGTCTGTTACTACCTATGTGACCTTGGACACGTCTCTTCCCCTCTAGAAGCCTCAGGTTATTAATTTGTGAAATAAAGGAGTTGGATGCAATGATACCACCAGCTCTTATTTTCCATGAACGCTTTAACACTTCCCGGATGTGTAATTTTGTCTGTGGATGGTCTCTCCACCATTCCAGAATGCAGCCCACCTGTGCCTCAGTAGACAATCCTTGACAGATTGCTTTGCCAAAAAAAATTCAATTCTTTTGCAGTATACTTGGACTTACAGGTCACCTTCCTGATGTGATGGGAATTCAGCAGAAGGATTGACAGAGTCCTTGAATGGACTGGAGAGGACCCTAGGAGATCCCCTAGTCCAAAGCCCTTGTTTCCCAGAGGAGGAAAGGGAATCCCTGAGAAGTTGAGTGATTTTTTTCAAAGTAATACAGCTTAGAAAGCTCAAAGACTCTAAGTCTAGCATTCCTTCCCTGACATCTTAGTGGCCACGAGACCTGGGGATTTTTGTTGTTCAGTCTTTTTCAATCATGTCCCACTCTTCATGACCCCATTTGGGGTTTTCTTGGTGAAAATATTGGAGCAATTTGCCATTTCCTTCTCTACCTCGTTTTACAGATGAGGAAACTGAGGCAAACAGGGTAAGTGACTTGCCCGGGGTCACACAGCTAATAAGTGTCTGAGGTCAAATTTGAACTGAGGAAGATGAGTCCTCCTGACTCCAGGTTCTTGCTCCGTGCACCATGGCACCATCTAACAGCCCTAGACCTATGAATGCTCTGTTGTAAAGCACCTTTGGCTGCCTTCCTCCTGGCCTCCCTACTCAAGAGAGAAATGTACAGAGAATTAGAGGCTTCAGTCTTTCCCTAGAGACTCTTCATGTGGAGTTCTGAGATGCTAAGAGGCAGGGTAGCATGGTGACAAGAACCAAGAAGCCCTTGGTTCCAGTCCTGTCCCTGTGCCACATGGACTCTGTATGTCAAACCACTTTGTCTCTTAATGATTCCAGGGAACTCTCAAAGACTCTTAAGTTAACAGATGAGCTGAGTTGATGGAAGGAGTTTCCACACTGGAAGTTTCCTACACGTTTGTAGACCTCATGCTCCCCTTTCCCCACAAGAAAAGGAAGTGATATCAAAGTATGAGTAGACACTATTTGAAGACAGCATGAAGGTCATATCATTGAGTGAAAAACAACACGTGTCATGAGAAAAGTGGGAGCTGTTGGGGTGGCCTGGCCTTTTGACACACCCTGCTATTCCCTGGGTTCTTGCCAAGTCCTGATCCAGCTCAGAAAACTGTGACATTGTGATTAGAAGCTCATTACTGGTCCCTCCCCCTACTTTCCCCTGCTTATCAGGCCTTTGAAATGTCCATTAGCAGCTAAAGCATTTGTAAGAGTTCTCTCTGTCCTGGGATATAACACTCCTACTTTTGTTTACCAACTCTGTATGTCTAAACAGAAAGAAAAACAAAGCTCAGAGATCATCAGGTGCCAGCTCCATATTTTACAGAAAAGGAAACTGAGTCTGAGAGAAATGTAGTGACAAGTGCCATGGTCACACAGCCAGTGAATGAAAGGGTCAGGAATTCAGGATTTAAGTCTTTGGGCCCCAAGCTCAAGGGTTCTGGTACAGTGTCTTCACTACTCAATGTGCACTCCCAAACAATACCTCCTTTTATTCTGCTTACTCTGTGTGACCTTGGATAAGTAATTTTCCCACTCTGGACCTTTTTCCTTTTTTGTAAAAAGACAAGACCCAGTGGACTCTTAGGTCCTTGCCAGCTTTAGGATGATGCTGTGAAAATATTAGAGTCACATTGGAATTTGTGGCTTAATTAGTAACCTGAGGAGAACCTCTTATCACCCAGAGCAGAAAATAAGTGAACAAAAGGTCGGGTCTTTGAGATTAATAGCTATTAAAACCTCTCACAAAAAGCTGAGGCAAGAGTGAACTTCTATAAGTGTGGCTGCCACTCCAACATTATCAGTGGGGAGCTGCCATTCAAGGCCTCCAACAATCTGGCCTCACCTGCCCATCCACTGTTATCACTCTTCCTCTCCACTATGAACCCTCAGCCCCAGGAAGACCAAGCACCTGCCTACCCCCAGCTCACTCTCACCTCCACACCTTGGCTCATGCTGTTTAGCCACAAACCGGAAGGGGTTTCAGAGGAGCATCGTGTCCTTCGTGCTAACAGCACAAAATTAGGGGAAGGAGTTGAACACGCCTCAACTTTACTCAGCTTCTTTGCTCTCCCCTTTCTCCCTGTTCAAATTCTACCACCCAGTAGGAGAACTTGTTCCAAGTCTCACCTCTGCCCGGAATTCCAGAGAGCAAGAATTCATGGGACCTCAGCAGTTACCGAGTTCAACCCATAAACCAGGGATTCTTAATCTGGGGTTAAGATATGATAGAGATTATTAAGATTATTAAGATATGAATGATAGAGAGATAGACAGATAGATAGATAGATAGATAGATAGATAGATAGATAGATAGATAGATAGATAGAT